CACTTTTTATACATATTACCTATACACTATACAATATATTTTACACCTCAACACAACTTTTTTTGATATCCATATTGTTATAAGTATTAGCTTTTCTTCTATACAATAAAGCAACATAGCGAAGGTTCATTTAACTATTAAATCAAATAATGATGTAATTAAATGTGTGATTTTACTAAGATAACTCCCCGCTACTGAGGCGTTCGCTTGATTCTCCGAATATTGCACTTTCGAATGGGAATGGAGGACCAGTTCATGCTTGTGTTGTCGATGAAGTGCAAGCCAGGAGCAGACTTTATAGGTGCACTGCGAAGTTTCCAACTTCCAAGCGCATTATTCTTATTTTAATCATCCATCATTTGGGTAAAAAAACTTTCGGAAAATAAGTTATTGTTATTGTAGCCGGGAATCTCTGTTGGTTTTGGTCTTTTACGTTAAAAAAGGGTTCCGGTAAAAACGCCTAATTTTATGTAAATGTGGGATACGCTACCAGTATCATTCTTTTTTCGTTAGAAAACGTTCGAAATGAGCTCGTCATGTAACATAGTTTGTGAAAGAACTAATTTAAACCCCCTTTGGGTGGCGTATCTAAATAACCCGTATGCCTTATACAAAGGACACAAACGAATAGAATGATTCTTTCATGTAGGTGCTCGCTTAAAATACAATAACGTTATCTTGGGTTTGAAAGTTGAACAAAAGAAATATTTTTCTTGCATATATCTGATATAATACACACCAATTTCGAAAAAGATAATTAATGAATACATCTAATCAAATTGAATTTTCCGGAAGTCGAAACTCGATTCTCTCGAAGTAAAAGTAAACGTACGGCGGGTAGCGGAAACGCCAATGGTAATTTCCGCGTTCTGAATTACAACGCGACTTCATTGTGCAATTATCCGAGACCGGGAAAAGAAAATAGCCCATCATCCGAAATTATTAATTAACCGAAAATGAGCGCGAAACCGCCGACTGGATACAGAACGAGGCGTTTTCCTTTTTTCCAAAAAAAAAAAGTTTTTTCATTAGCGCTTAATTAAAAGTTTCGCGCGGAATTTCCGTACAGCGTTCTTCAATTAAGCACCGGCTAATTTATCGCCACCTAGTGTCACTGATTCGAGTTTCGAGCCATCGAGAATTTTGCCAAATATTTATTTCCGCTAAATCTGATGAACCGATAAAGCAAACTTCATCGGACGCGACTAACTTAACCCGCTGGAACTCTATTAGCTAACTTCGAACTGGGCCGGCCAGATTACCATAAAGAAAATAGATAAACACTGATCGGATTGTGTCGAACAATCCACAACAAGCCCGGCAGTTCTCCGCAAGTTAAAATAATTTTTACTCACCCCGAACCAGATACCAGACATCGGTACAAATTAGCGGAACAAAACCAGTATATTTTATGAGGAACCGAGCACAAAGGAGAGCCCCCGCGCGCGACAATGGAGCCTTTCACGGCCCGTTGCCTTCGTTTGTAAAACGAAAATCTCTAATAAATGACGAATGATCGACTTGCCGATGACGTCATCTGCAGGGTTAAGTTAACGACGTATGCTTTATGGCAAGTCGTAAGTTATCCCACTTCTGAAAGCCGGGAGGAAACGTTCGAGTTAATCCAATGGGAAGGAATAATAGTTTTTTTAGTTGAGTTTATAATGCGATGGAGGGTCGGAGGTTTTTTGCGTTGTTTCAAGTTTATTTTAAGGATAAAAAGAAGCTTAAACTCCTTAAGGTCAAGGGAAATCGGGTGTAAATACTGTTAAGAAAGAGACAATTCTTTTAGTAGAACCAAAGGAATGGTTCAAACACCTCTTGAGGTACAATAAAAATATCACATTCTGTTGATGTATTGCTTGGTACGGAATCAAATATCCAATCAACGAGCATAATGCGATACAACATTAAACACGAATTTAATGTATCGTTTAACTACTGGTTTCCAGTTAACCATCATTAAAATATATTTATATCTATATTATATTCGCTCGGCCCTCGACGGGGGTGCATTCTAAATAAAGGACCCCGAATCGACTCCCGACCAACATCTGTTTGTCATACTTCTGCGCTGTCAACGTCGAAATATACATACACATTCGCCTCCCGTTGGGACATTATGATTTTGGCGTTTATTGTGAGGCGATCCTCCAATCGGGAGTTTTACGACGGAAATTTGTTCGCCCGTCCCTTCGACGTTATTACGGCGAATTCACCAAGCGACTTTTTTAATATTCCTCCGGACAGAATTTAAATACTTCCTAATAATTAGTAATTTATTAAATACAAGGGCATGGATTCGCTTTATAAACAGCCGATTAGTGCAGGTCGTTTGTGCACCGGTGCCTGTTGGGTATGAATTCGCAATTCGTTTTCGGCCGTTTTCCTCAAAGTGGAAATAGTATTGAATAGAACGCCGATATGCGTAATGCGACCTTTTAAACAATGGGAATATTATACGAAAAAGCTGGGCGTAAAAGCGCGCCTGTAGGGTTGATCGGCGAGGTCAATACGCCGGGAAAATTATTCATCGAATTGAAAATTGGAATTTCTTTGGTGGCTGGTAATGTTCGACACCTCGGCGAATTATTGGTGCATCGAAGGGGTCATCGAATGGATGAAAAATCGCCGGATATTAATATTGCGCTTGATACGCACGAGGCGGTTTTCTCCCTCGCGCAAATTGACATGACGCACAGAATTTTGGGAAAAGGTTATACTAGGGGGGTGGTGCAAATATTCGCGTGCATTAGAATTGTGCGATGTGGGGTGGATGACTAAAAGCGTCGTTAGTGCTTTTGTCGCGCGTGTAAAGAAACTATAAATCACGATTAAAGCGAATTTAATTTCGGCTTTTTTTTATTGTTTACCGAAATTCGGCTCTTTATGTAGATATAAAAAATGGAGTTAAGCCGATCCCCCGGGGGGGTGGTATTCGAAGAAAGCCGGTTGATCAATGTTTCCTTTTCGATTTATTCCGTCGACAAAGAACGTGATAAATTCATCGCGGTTGCTCGAGAGATTGATTAGGTTTATTCAAATGTTGCTTTCGATCTGTACATTTTCCCGGATTTTCGCGCTATCCGAAAAAAGGAAGATGCGGATACCGCGATTGTTCGGAATCGGTTATATGTTGAAAAATTACGCTTTTATTCAAGCACTCTTACTACATTGTTATTCAAACCTAATTAATTTTCATACTATTTATAGATCGTTGTAATGTTATCAAAATCATTTATTATGCATTTTTACATTTCTACATACATAATAATATTATAAACTTGGGATATTTACTAGTTAAGGCGCAGAACAAAATATGTGCATGTCGAGCGATAAAATCTATATGTGTACTTCGGTATAATTATTCAGATGCCGCAAATGCAGCCGGCATAATAATTAAATTAACAAATTGGAATGGACCGTTCTGAATATCTATGAGGGAATAAAATGACAAATGGAATTAATCAAAAACGCGAATCATATAATAAATTAAATTATCATTCGATTGGTTAATTAATTTTTAATCTTTAACCATTTTATGAATAAATAATAATGCCTTAATTTTCGTTCTATCAACCCCCTTTTGTAATTCCCTTATAACACTATATTAATTCTCATATTTTTTGGTCCATAAAATCGCTTTTTACCGCTTTTTGTATTATCTTAAAAACGCGAGTTTCCCTTCGAAATATAAGCTTTCCATTCACGTACGAGCCCGAGATTATTTTTTGCACACATCGCCGTAAATTTATCTACCCCACCTACATATACCTAGTCTTTTTGTTGTCGAAAAATTGTAAATTCCCTAAACTGACGTTTTTCGGGCGATTTATACGCCAAAGATAACCCGCCCGCCATCGCAGGTAAGAATTATACGTTTGTATTATGGCTTCAGGTGTGATTTTACCTATCATTACCGCAAACAATAGATCGGAGATAACAGAAAAGAAAAACTTCCATTCATAAGGAATCTACCACATTTGGAAAGTTCTATTGTTCGTTTATTAGGAAGTATACCAAATACGAGTATATAGAACCGTTCGGAACTGTTTAGAATCTTTGAAAATTTGTTCAGAATTATTCAGAAGTGGTAAGAACTATTCAAAATCGGTCAAATCTGTCCGAATCTGCTCCAAACTGTTCAAAACTGCTTAAAAACATTCAAAATTTATTCATCAGAACTATTCAAAACTGTTCGACGCTGCTTGAAGCTCTTAAAAATTGTTTAGAATCTTTCAAAGTTTGTTCCAGATTATATAGAACTGTTTAAAATATCCAGAACTGTTCAAAACTGTTTGTTTCTGCTCCAAACAGTTCAGAGCTGTTAGAATCTTTTAAAATTTGTTCAGAATTATTCAGAAGTGGTAAGAACTATTCAAAATCGGTCAAATCTGTCCGAATCTGCTCCAAACTGTTCAAAACTGCTTAAAAACATTCAAAATTTATTCAGAACTATTCAAAACTGTTCGACTCTGCTTGAAACTGTTCAAAATTGATTAGAATCTTTCAAAATTTGTTCCAGATTATATAGAACTATATTTAAAATATCCAGAACTGTTCAAAACTGTTTGTTTTTGCTCCAAACAGTTCAGAGTTTTTAGAATGTGTTCAGAAGTATTCAACAGTGTTAAAAACTATTCAGAATCGTAAAGAACAGTTCAAAATTTGTTCAAAACTGTTTAGAACGATTCAGAACAGTTTAAAATCTTTCAAAATTCGTTCAGAACTATATCAAATTTTTACTAGTACTTTGGTGCAATTAAAAAGTAACTATATCACCTCCTGGGGCACTCCGGCCAGAGGGTGTCGGGACTCGCGCGGTTCGCCCCAGTTTCGGGCCTTTCATTTCGGGTCGCCCGGCAAGTGCGAAACCGGCGAAGGGGCCCCCATTGTTCGGGCCGGCTCTCCCGACACGCCGCCGAGAGACCGGTCGCGTTCGCGTACATGTGCAGGATAAAGTTCGAGCGCGGTGCAGCAGGCGAAGCCCGAAGCCAGTCGCGCGCCAACCGCACTCGGAAGGATCTCGGCGCCGGTTTCGTCCTGCGATCAGAGGCGCTGCTCTCTCGGCGTCGTCTCGGAATTGCCGATAAGGACCTTGGATTTATTCGGTGCGATTTAATTGATAGTGTTTGTACCCGCGAGATGTGTTCGCCTGTTTCGTAAAAATTTGTGCCAAGCGATAAAAATGGTTGATAACAGTTGCGTTATCGAAGGGACTGTTAAATTCCGCGATGGGAAAAAGGTAAGTTTTTTTTTTATTTGATTTATAGTGCAAACCGTCCTGAACAAATTTTAAACTGTTCCAAATAATTCTAAATTGTTCTGAACAAATTTTTGAAGATTCTAAATAGTTCTGAATAGTTCTGAACAGTCCTGAACAAATTCTGGACATTTCTAAACAGGTCTGAATAGTTCTTGACACTTCTGAAAAACTTTTGAAAGATTCCAAAGATTATAACATGGTTCTGAATGGTTTGGAACAGTTTTGAATAGTTCTATGTGGATTTATTTGGTTGCTGATGAAAAATGTTCAATAAATCCAAGTAAAATTTCGACGCCTACGCATTTAATATTTAAACCGATTTGAAATTAATTCAGGTTGATTGACTGATCACAATAGGTAATTAAAAACTTTTCGGACCGAAATAAAAATAAAAATAAAGGGTTACGAGAGTAGGGTTTCCGAGTAACCACTGTCAATCATTGTTTCATGCGCAACGTGCTCGCTCAATTTAAAATAATGAAGACGTTTTAATAATGTAGCCGACGAATTAATAATTCCGGCTAGTCAATAAAATCGTTCGGGTTCGGTGAATTTGTAGATTTTAAAACAAGTTGGAACAAACGCGTTAATTGGAAATTACTATTCTCTGAAGGTCTGTTGACTGGTCGATGTTTACCTGTGTGTCGTAAATCATGGTGCTTAACATTTTAAAATACTTCTAAAAGTTCGTCGAAACATAAAGGTCCGCATTCTTTATATTATTTTATCCGCAGTTTTACATAAATAATAATATTTAGCGGCGTTGTAAAGTTACGATTTTTATAACTCACTTAAAGATAACTGATATAACAAAGTTATTAATTAGTATCTGCTCTTATTTACTATCTATTTTCTCATGAATTTACGATCGTTTTATTGGCAATAAAGGCAACTTAAACTCTGGCGGGCATCGTTTTAATTTATCGTAAATACCCAACGGTTCGAAAACAAAACTTTTTCAACAATTTTTGGGAAACCTCGCAGATAACTCCTTTAATTGCTCAATTATTTTACCAAAACAAATTTTTACTTATCGCGGGGATTCTACGCAACGCATTAATCTTATCGCGTACAGTAAACCACTCAAAAATTTTTAATCGCACTTAAAAACAACAAAATCATGCATCAGCTTACTCAATAAGTGCAATTACTAAAAGCAATGCACTTTAGAGTGATTTAATGGGCAATTTACTATTATTAAATTATTTGCAAAAGTATACGCAATTTTTACCAGCTCCCTAGCTACATTTTAACACCTTAAGTGCCTGTGTAATTCAGTTTTTTTATTCGAACAACATCGTAACTCTCGAGAATTCCAACACCTGATCGTCGTTGAAATTAAATGCAGATAGATCGATCGCTATCGATTTATCGCCTAGAATTCTCGGAAATAATTTAGCACGAAATCAAGTCAATTACCCGCGTCGAGAACAAGAACAAGAGCAAGAACCAGACCGAAGTTTCGTAAAAAAAATCGCACGTAATTATCTTCACGATTTACAACGATACGGTAATTTGGAAGGTTTATATAATAGTTTAATTATATTTCTGTTCCGTATACGAATGAGATATGTAGATTGGGTTATTTTTAGTAATTTAATTGCGAGTACGGACGGTTTGGAATTAAGCCAAAATTTAATTGCTATACTCTTTAGATTAGTTATTATACTCCAGTATAACAAGATTTGATTAATACTAACTGTAAGTTATGTAAAACATTTTATTTAGTGCAGGATTTCTTTTAAAATTAATAGTACATTTCCAGTGTCGCGTGTCGTGAAACTAATTTTCGAAAGCCCTTCGTCAAAATGGTCGAATGAAAGCGGCACGTGCCGCTCCGGAAAACTCCCGTTTAACAGTTAAATCGACCGTTAAAACTCTAACGAACGATTCCCGGTGATTTGTCGACGCATCGTTTTTGCGCAAAACGGAGAAACTCCTGTTCCTCGTGCCCCTCGAATCGCAATACACGACAATAAACCTCGAACAACAACAAAAAAAAAGACCATCCGAAAGTGTTGGGCCCGAGATATTAAATACATCGCTCGGCCATCCGGGGGCATATGCTTCTTTCTTAAGTTCCCCGGCGGGGCACTGCGTGTGACAGCCGAGCAACGCCCTTAACGATCCTACATCCCTTAAAATTTATTACGCGACCTTTTGGCTTCTTTTGCTACCGCAAAATGTGCGCTTGAAATAATACGAAAGCACATGCACACACCGAGCGAGAGAGGCTCCTTGTTCGTGCTCGTGTTACCACCAGAAAATCGGTTATTATTACAGCGGACACGCTATTAGACAGGTGGAGGGATTTATTTTCGTACAACCACCGCAAAATTTATAGTATACCTGCCTACAGACCGATGGATGTAGCTAGAGACGTAGTATGCGCAAGTCTACTTTAATTTGTTGTATAATACAGACATTTTGAGCTTTTTCAAACTAATGCACCACCTTGTATATAATATGCGCGAGTATATCAAAAGTACCAGTCTCCGGAACGGTTCATTTGAACTTTCGTTTGCTTCGCAATGTTAATGTTTACACAACGTTGACACAACGTTATTATGATGTGCATTATAAATAACTGGCGACCCATAGATCTTATCTCTGTTTACAACAATTGCGTAATTAATAAATAAATTCTATTGTTTGTACTGGTATTTACGACACGAAGCGATGGCAAATGGGTCGGTTTTCAGAGTTGCGGTAACGCTGGCAAAAATCGTTGACCACCTGTTGTTGTTGCAATAAAAATCGCGGTGAATAAAGCGAATTCAGTCCACCTGAGAGGTATGTTAAATACTTAACTGTTTTTGTTAGTAGGAAAAGTAAGAGTGGCGTGAAGGAGATTTGTAAAATCGCCTTTTTGTATCGATTAATCTCTTAATGCAGTCGGTGGTAAAGGGAGATACCCTAAAATCCGGGCTGGGGTGCAGGACCATTTCGGAGACAGTTGTTGTGCATGTTTATTGCGTACTTAATTTATGCCCGGCTCGGGATTATCGAATTAGATCGATCGATAACAAATCACTTAAGTCAGGGGGAAAATTGATTTGGTGCGTTTGGAAGGTTCTAAAGAAATATTAATAACGCAAGGGTGGGTTTGAAAGGGACACCCCAACAGAAAAAATAATTAAAATAAACGTCCCGTTATATTTCTAATTTCTTTTCCAGTCGTTTCTTTAATAAATCGCGCTGTTCGAAATACGGGACAATTAAAATTTTTCCCGTTAAAATCGAATTTACATCACATTAGAGCGTGGATTATTATTTTTCGGAGTGTAATTACAGATTCCGCAATTATTTCCACCGGGAAGTCGGGAAATATATCTATATACCGTCGGCGTGGAAACTTTACGTTATAGATATTATTTTCTCGCTCTAACTCCGGACCTTTTATTAGTTTAGTTAGTTTCAGTTAGTGTTCGAAATGAAATGCATATTTTATGTACGTCCCGGAACGACTTACGCCGTTATAAAATTACGCTTTGAATATATTTGAATACGTTTTTTGACGGGTATAATTGAAATTTTTTTGTATGAAAAAAAAAATATAGAAACTCCCGCTTTTATTTACTATGTAAATTTTTTATCTCGTTTACAATATTGCGTTTGATGTACTTCTATTATTTATTACATAAATTATAAAAATATATTCCGAATTCTATAAGTATGTGGACGAAACTTTGTGTACCTATGTGAAGTTAATCTTTTGATCTTTTTCCCCGAGTAACATCAACAAGAGGCCGGTGCATTTATCCCAACTTCTGCTCTCAAATTTAATATTGCATACGTTTTGCATGCCTAATCGCAAAAGTTTCGAAACATTGCGAAAGGCGTATTCGTTTCGATATTCTCGAGAAATTTTCCCGCGAGCCGCGGCCGGAAACGTCGATTTTCTCTTGCAAAACCGATTAATCTTGCACCGCGGAATTTTATTCGAAACGCAAGCTATCGGCACTAGATTGTAGTTCGCTAAACGATTTACAGTACAAGCGCATTGTGTAAAGAAGCCAATATACAGTTGCCATTAATATTTAGTATACATGAACATTCTTGCAATTTGCAATCCCTTTGAGTGAGCTCATTTTCGACGATCCCAAACCTAACGACCGACTAATAAATCGAACTGTAAAAGCGCTTTGTTTCACCAATTTTTTCACAATCGCCCGATTATTTAATCGTATCCGGAGGGAAGACGAGAAAACAATCGAACGGACGGACGTTCCGTGAAAGAGTATCATTCATGAGGAGCGAGTGCGTGGGGTCCGGCGACCGGCGACGTCAATAACTTCATAATTCACAATAAAATCGACGGCTATATACGCATTCGAATCGAAAACAATCGACAGGGAAACGTTCCTGGGCTCTCGCTTTTTTTTTCCTCGCCGACGTTATTGTGTTTGCGCACGTTTCGTCGGCGTGTTTCTGTTTTTCTAGACGTTGTCGACGAGCTTGTTCTACAAGCACCAGGCGCCGATCGTAGCGCCATTTATATTGTTGCATTTTTACCCATTGAAAATAACATTGAATAGTCTTATCAATTTCAATGATGAATTTTAATCGAATATCCCTCTTTTAATAGTAGCTATCTATTTGTGTTAGGTAGTAGAAAGTAGTCCACTTACGGTATAAAGTAGAATCGATTGTGAATCTTTTGCGATAAGCAAAAAAGAGAAACAATGCCCAAAGGCGATGAAACAACAATTGCACTATATTTTGTACTATTTCCACTACCTTTTTCAAATAAGCGCTGCTGTGCAAATATGCCATTGCGGCGTCTGTCTTTGTACGATTCGCATCGGTTAATTAATATCAATTATCTGTTTGCCGCAATTAAGCGACGTAATTGCCGCTTCGTGTGTCTGTTAATTACGTTGGTAATTTTTTTTGGCAAGCGATAATTGGCCTTTAGTTAATTCGGTGTAACTATTCGGGCGTACATAGTGAGGGAATTTCGATATACGTGCGAGGAGTACGTCAATTCGATGCTTTCCGAAATTGGAATAATTGGAGCCCAATTAATATCCCTATCTAATTATTTATATTAACGTATTTCGTAATAAGTACCTAACATGTATTATAAATATATCCCCAAGCGGTTGAGGGTTTTATTAAAAAAGTTTCCCAATAAGAATTTTAAATTGAAATTTGTCGAGTGTACAGGTCAAAGTATTAATAATGTACTACTCAATGCCTAGTTCATAAAACAGTTTATGTACTTATGTACTTTGAAATATATTAAATCTGGTAATTAATGCAAAATGTGTATCAAATTAAAAAGAAAAACTAATCGTAAATTACAGGGAAATTACTGATAATTTATAATGTTAACTTTTTACGAGATTCATAAATCACCCGACGATCGCTTTCGTCAGGTGTATGAATGAGTTTTATGGCCTGCTTCCTGTTAACCTATCAGATATGAAAAAAACTATGTACCATAATTAACACGTTGAGTTGACACGATATGTTCCACCTGGAATAAAAAATGTTCAACTACAGCCAAATAGGTTATATTATTTCTTAATAATCCATTCGCTCAATCCAATTTGCTCTTCCCAACAAAAAAACGAATCAAACTTTTTCTATCCATTCGATAAACTGAAACAACATTCGATAAAAACCGTTCGTGCGTGCGATTTTTTTTCCGATCTGTTACAAACAGATAGCGCGTTTACTGGATTTCCGATAAAAAACAAGAGGAAAATCAGTTGGAGTTTGCATAAATATTGACTGATGCAAACAATAAAAATGCGTAAATACACACAAACACCCTGACAGTTACAATTAAGACCAATGAAGTCGATCGATAATGCATAATAATATTGACACATTTTCATCAGCAACGTTTTTTTTAGTGGATTTTAATTCGTTAACTCCATTAACTCATTTTAATTTACAGTGGAAATCGAGATGGTGCGTCATGAGGAAATTATCACCAGTTGCAGGTAAATTTCATCTTCACATCTTCACTTTTAAGAGGAATAGTAATCCCAAAACAGGATGCCGCTCGTCGTAAATTTTTTATGATTGTTCGCAAGGTTCTGTTAAGTATTTAATCCCCTAGAAAACGCCCGGCCAAAGTCAATATTATTCCATCTTTTGTAATTCGATGCTCATTATCTGCCCGTCATAAATCAGGCCAGTTTTCGGATTCGATATCACTCCGAACGCACGATAAAACAAGAACCACATGTTCGGAGTGGAAATTTAAAAACTCGTCTATTTACATATCACTTCAGGAGTTGTATTGGTGTCTTCTTATTGGAAAATAACAACAATAATACCGCTGTATTATTTATTAGGTTAAGAAAGTACTGGTATCTGATATAAAATAGGAAATTACATTTTATGCTTACTTGCATCCTGGTTTGTTAAGCAACTTGAGCCTGAACTTTGTTGAAGTTAGTTATGCAAACGTATGAATATTGCATGAACAAACGGCAAGTTTCGCTATGTGTACCAAATTCGCGAGATTGATTTTTTTAAACCGTAAAAATTTCAAATTAATTATTTACAATGCCTAAAAACGTATGAAATGCGGAATCTATAAAATATTGATTCCAGCAAATCGTTTACCTCGATATTTAATTGCGCCAATTACATCGAGTGCGCTGTAAATATTTCCTATTTCTTTACGGGATGCACAAACACGCTAATTATACGCGTACGTTAACGTTAACGTGTAGTTACGCTAACCCACCTTACCAGGTAAATTACACGTTCGATAGTGCAAATATTAGATTCACATTTCGCAATCTAATCGAACGTACGTTCCGCATAAATGCGATTCGAACCGAACGTTTGCAAGTTATAAATCTTTCCTATACCGGAATTTAATATTGAGGATCGTAAGTTATTTTTGCACGTTCCGCAAACGGTATTAATAACGACTGTAAAATGCGTTTTATGTACATGTTGATAAATCGTACGGGAGCATTTTAATTTGTACGAATTGTTTTAGAGGATGTAAAATTTCGTATGTATGTTTTTCTGGGCTAGAAAATATCGATTTTGTAATTATCATTTGAAATTTCTGTATGTGACATTTTCACTATCTACAGTATGATTTATACCTTGTAAGGATGCTAATAGGATAATGTAACTCTTGGATTTATGGGGACTCGTTTCAATATTGTTCCACTTAGAATTGCCTTTCAATTCTAATGTTCTACAATACCTTCTGTTCACCCTCTAAATCTATGTTTTTTAACGGCTTCTTGTAGCCTATGGAATTACCAAAAAACCTATCATATTACGTACAGGAAATGCAATTACCCTTCCAAAAAAAAATACCGATTTGTATACCATTCAAACGCCCTCATTGTTTACCGTTCAACCCCAGGTAAGGACGGTTACCGGCCTGTCAGTTATCGCGCAGTATTTACAAGTCCCTACGAAGGACGTTTCGAGAATGATGATGCTTGCGGGTTCAAATTCTGTGTAGTTGGACCCTTCTCTTTTCTCTGCATTTCCAGCTTTCTCTACAGAAGGTCGCTTATGGTTTGTAAATTAAACTTTGATTAAATCCGGATAGTTTGTTGGCCGCGAATCGGCTATCTTGGAGGAACTCGATTTAATCCGATCCTTAAACACGGCTCGAGCGGGTTTAATCGATTATACTCTATACAATGTATAGAAATTCATCTCGTAAAAAAAACCCGCAACTATGCGGTAACTTTTCATAAAGCAAAGTGGAACTCGCTGTCCGAATAAAAAAAGCAGTTTTGTAAGTTTTGTTTGATGTGCTCGGGGTCGTTATAACACTTCATGGAAACTTGGAAACTCCGGAAACGGCGCCTTCGAGGTTACGCCGAAAAACTTTCCAGGTGCTCTCTTATTCCTCGGAAATATATCCGAATTTTTAATAAAAAAAAAATACTCCGGGCGGTTTTTTGTTCGGCTCGCAGTCAATTCGAACATGCAGACAATGCAAACGAGTCACAACGAGCTTTCAACTCGACATGTTCAACTCGAATGGCTCGAACGCTCTCACCATATACCATGTTCGTGACGTCATATGGGGATGAATTTTGTAATCTAGACTCAAACAAAGCGTTACACGAGCCCCGGGCGTTTTCTGGAAAGCAAAGACCAAACGTACATACTTAACCGGCAGAATGGAATTTGATATGAGATTGAATGCAGGAGCCTACATAATGAACACTATTAATAAACAGACCTTCATACGCTGCGAAATTATTAACAAACAATAATATTTTTCCGCCGTCTCGAAGAAATTGAGCGAGATTCCGCCCGGATACGGAGCCCCATACGCCCGGATTAGGAATCGTTCTTAGGCGAATCCCCGTTACGGCTGGGTTTTTTTTCCTCCTACGGTGCATAGGTTTTAGATAAAGCTCGAAAGGGGATGTATAACGTAACGCGGCGATCATTAATAAAATACCCCTTGATGGTAAATCGATCCCGACGTTGTTATTCTTTATTGAAACGACTATAGTCTTATACTTCGCAAGAGTTACCGACTAACTACACTCAGAAAACAAACTTTCTGGGGTGAATTTTTATTGGAATATAGCTACAGACGATGTATATGATAAGCAGTTAGATATCGAAATTCTTTAGGTGTTTACTTTTTTCAGTGTAGCTAATTTTTCGCCTATTATTGAATTGAAACGTGGAACATAAAAAGTTAAGAATTCTATATTTTACGGCTTACGCAGGATCTTTTATTGCTCGATTCTCCCCATGTAGGATGCACATACATTTAAAACTTTAACATTGCGGGTATGGGATAAGATGATCTCTTATGGCCGAAGAATAAATTTGGAAATTTCAAGGGGACGTTTTATTTTTTTCACTTTCGCGTGTTAGGTTTTATACGGGAGGATTCGCCTAGGATCAGGATCTCCGCGGAGTGTGCACTTTTTAAATTAGATTATCGCGGGAATTTCGCTCGATTTGCTCCGGAGGAAACTTGTGTGGAAACCGCGGAGTTTCCTAGCCGGAGACTAAAGCGAACTTCGGTTCTAATAGGACGAGGCCGCGCATTACGGAGTTTTGTTTGTTTTTCCGCCGAGAACCCCGAACGAACAATCCCTACTTCAGCCTTTGAGGGCCTAACAATAACCCTAATCTTAAGGGATTTCGAGCCGTTGGCTTCCTTTCCGATCCGAATAAACACAAAAGCACTCTTGTTGCTTGCAGGTTTATTTGCAGGATTTTTCCCGTATAGCTCGAATCAAGGCCCGTCTACGTAGAATTGATCTCGATCTTCCTCTAAGTACCTAATAAATAACCAAACGTCAATCACCTTGACGCACGATTCAATAAATTCAAGTCCCTTTGCGGTGCATTGCTCAAATCGGACATTATGCCCCAATATAAGAAACATGTCCGCCATCAACCTGATTAACGATAATAAACCAGACGAACTTCAAATTCCCGACGACGATAGAAAAAATGAAAATAAAGGCGACGATTACGAGTCGGATATAATCGACAAAATACTGGAAATCCGATCGAAAATAGAGAAAATCGAAGCCGATATAAAATCGAAGAGCTCCGAAGCGCTCAAAGCCGAATGTAAAATCATCGAGGAAACTTTACTTCAATACATTATCAAGCTAGATAACATCGATACGAAATCTATTGACAAAGTCAGAGATTTGAGGAAGAAAACAATTTTATACACGCAGGATTGTTTAAACATGTTCGATACGAAATTACATTCATAAATAAATTCGCTTTTAATACATCCATCGCACTTTAGGAAATAAATTAATAATGACGAAGCTATAGAAGCTATTGAAAGAATCCTTCAAATACCTCCTTAATCGAATTCGGAAACCGGCGAGTTGTTTACGCGAATTGCGAATTATGAACTCGTACTATTTGCGTTGTCTCGACGATTCGCCAACTTCCTTAATAAACCTTTTTCGGAAAAGTCGGGAAAAGTTTAAAGTTAAATACGAGCGCGGAAGCTCTTTCCGGCGAGCCACTTCTCTTGACCCTCAGTTCTTTCCAATTTAAATATTCCGCTCGACGAAAGGCCAATATTATTCCATGCATAATACATGGATCGGGAGGCTCGCCGTTCGATTTTCCCGCGAAAGAAACGCTGCATTTCGACGATCAAACGCAATTATATCGGACCGAGCTCGAAAAGAAAAAAACTACACAATTAGCCGAACTCCAATGAAGTCTTGATAAATCCCACTACTCTTTCGCTGGAATAATCCGATGTAATAACGAGAAGTTGCTAACAATGAGAAACACTAATGGCTTTTGCTCCTTGTACCGCGATGGAACTACGGTTATGCTTTCTATTAATGGCGAACTGATGGAAGTTCCCTTGTTATTCTCGAATTTAATTTAATCGTAATTAGGCTCGGAATTAATTATTCGCTGGAAAAATCGGCGGATAAATCGAGCAGTGAAAGACGAAACGATCCCCATCCGCGCTCATCGACGGCGATTATACGTAAGGAAAACACTTCCTTATAATACGATTAGCCAGTTTACGCGGGGCGCCGAATAAGGGGTATCTCTTTAAATTAGTTAGCGAGCTATGGGAAGGCGCAGGGTTGTTGTGGAAAAATTTTATCGTACGAATTTCCCCGCTCACTTGCCATCGAAGCTGTTAAAATGGTTGATGAAATGCTTATGAATGATTGTAGTGATTAAAGAATTAGGTTTCTGTGTAGTTTGTGAGGTAAGGGAAGCGAAAATTTGGGGATATTAAGCGAGTCCTGACCTGGGGAAAGCGAGTGAAATCGCCTCTTTAGCCGGTTATAGGAAATGCCGCCGTATCGACGGGAAGAAAATGCGCTTCCATCGAATCACTAAAGATCAGAAACTCGAGAAAAGTTCGCAGAATTTCATCAAAGCGGCCTAGGCCAGTTCCTAATTTAATATAAATTAGTTATAATTAACAAATATTTACATTAATCCGATATAATGATGAAGAATGTAGTGCACAGCGGAGATTTATCCGCTCGATAAGATGCGCTTGTTTCGTAATTTAATTTTGTACTACTAAATTTATAATAATCAGGAAAAGTTAGATCTTCTTCTCTGCGCGATTTTATCGGCCTAAAAATACATGCCAAGAGGAAGTTAAAAATCGTATACATTATACTTGTAAGCTCAATTCCCCCGCCGGCGAAACGTCCAGGAAATTATTCGTAATGATTGCGATTTCCAGCACAAAGTGAGATCCCGAGTTCCAGCCTTTCCAACGCCTAATTCCCTAGGAGTTTTCTACAATGGTCGAATCCAAGCGACCCCAGATACCAGCGTAGATCAATAACAATTTCCCTTATGACCAATGGGATTTTTCTTAAGAGAAAAAAAAGCAGTAACTAGGTGAACCTGCTAGCATTTCTACCATCAAAAATTCACTAAATTTTATTGCGATGGAAGGGGTGATAAAAAATTAGATACTTCATGATATATTGTGAATAGTCTGTTGGAATTTATTCAGCGTTTTCCGGCTCCGAAATCGTCGGGGCGCAATCGTAATTGAGATAATTAGGTAAATAAAGCGGCGCTCATTGCGCTGCGTGGCGCCACTTCTTCCACAGCTCGTTTCTGCTTTAATAATTAACGCGGAGACGTCTCTGTTCTACGTGCACGTGAAGCGCATTCGGTCCATTATGACCGAATTTAATTGTAAATAACGCATTTTAAAAAAACGTTTCGCTAATTCGGATTAATTCGGACGGAAGTTTACGTTTATACGGTCGGTTAGTTCCTGTAAAATAACGATCGTTTTATCGATATTTACCGTCAATATTTGAAATGGTGATTGTTATTTGCGTAAGGTCGAATTGCGCGTTTTAAGAGTGTATACCTAGTCAGTTATTGTGATTTGTAACAATGACTCGTTTGAATGATAATTAGAAAGCTTAATAATGCGTGGACGCGAAAAATGTTTTGAATAAATAGAGATTATTTGCTTGATTACCAAATCGTATGCATTTAATTTTGTACATTAAAATCCGCTGCGAACGATAACAATGCAATAACTTCTTGAGGAAACAACACAACAAAACCGTCGTATAATACACTAAAAAAACATATACTTTTGATTTACGTTATACGGGGTATTCAATATTACAAGAAGCGAGTTCCCAGTAGTATTTTTACGAGCCACTTCGGATGATTTGTGAATGGTTTCTTTCATTTCGATGAAATTGGGTGGGCCTGTTCTACTCCTATCTCACCACAATCGCACTGTTGTATATTATACACGCAAGAAAACTGCTTATCTAAAACGCAATAAAATGGTAGATTTCGTAAAAACCATCATAAAGAGGAGAATCCGCTCCATAAAAAAATGAGTAGTCTAATTGTTCGTAAATCCCAGACGAAATATATTTCAAATCGCTACATTAGGCATACACGAATCGTCCTGTACTGTATACAATCCCCATAAATCACCGCGGGTAATAATTTTAATCCCGCCGAACGTCGATAATACCGCCATTCTGGCGTTTCTGCGTTCGGATAACGCGGTTACGTCCCGCACGCGGTCACCCGAGCGATTTTTCCGACTGGGAAAAGGCCCGGATTCGACGACACCGGATCGCATCACATGCCAATTAACCGTCGCCCATCATCCGAACGGCCCGTTTTTTGTTTCCTGTTAAACGACACGTCTCGATTCTCGATCTAACGTTCCATTAGCTCCGAAACGAGAACAAAAATTCAATTTCGACGGCCGCGAGCGACGAAATCCCGAATCTCTCTCTCTCGATTTTTATACGGCGGAAAATCGCGCCGCCATTTTGACAATACTTGCAATTAGTTCAACGAAGAAGCGTGGTGGAATATTGTTGTATTTTCTGGGAGTTCTTTCGCCTTGTAGTTTTCGCGTTAGAGATAAAATTATCCGCCGGTTTCGCGTGCTCTAGTCGACTCGTTTTGATGGCATTTCGCTCGATATACGCGGTGTTTTGAGGAGAAGATAAAAAGGAGAACTTCCAACTTCCAATCGGGGACAGATGCGACCCTGCCCATTTGCTATCCTGGTATTCTAATTTGTGTTGATCCTAAAGATACCAAGTTAAGATATTTGCAACCCTTTTGACTCATACTATACATAAAAAATCTCAATGTATCTGTTACTATATACTCTATACAGGGTGGCAAATGGGCAGGGTCGCATCTGTCCCTATATACCTTCAACTTCAACCCGCGACATCTTCTGTACGACAAAGAGCTCGATAAAAGCCGGAGCGTTTGAAATCGATTATTGTTTTAGAAGCGTTGCAATTTAGGGTAAACGTGCATTTGATGCGATTGAAGTCCCTCGTATACGAGCAACGGCAATATTTAAAACGAGGCACTTATCATTCTCGTTCCGTCGTGATAAATTACTCCGCTTGCCGCCGGCAATTTGGCCGATGAGTTGATGGTTTTGAAATATTAGTTAATATCGCGCGATGCTCGTGTCTTTATGCGGCATTTTATTCGAATCGTCGGGTTTTTACTTTTTTCCCCGCGTGCGGCGTATGACAATTGCTCGCCATAAATCGAGCGCTTGGAATATTCAACCGTGAAACTTCGAGCATCTCTATGCCCGAACTTTCCGGTCGATCGCGCGAGCTCGCGGGATTCTTTCCCAACGCGGTAAATTAAAATGTGGATTGACTTAAGTGCGGTAATGCCGAGGAGGAAGTGCCTCTGTCCAACCTCGAAAGAGGCGCAGGTGGTTTTTATTCGATTACGAATCTATTAGAGGTGGGAGCGCCTGCGAGCCGAATTACCATAAAGCAGCTCGTAAATTTCGAAAACTATTATTAATACCGGGACACTTTAATAAAGGATTTCGGAATAGGAAAATAAAACAAATTGCTTCCTTAAAATACGGGCAATTTAAAAGAGGAATAGCGAATGTTGTATACATTTAAATTTCTACTCTTTTCAAGCCGAGTCATTGTACTTTTTTAGTAAAAATTCGACCTCAATTAACATCTTATCAACGAATACACTTAACGAAATACACGGAATAACTATCTACTGTAGTCTGTTCGGTTTTATCGCCAACCGTTGCGTGTAATTAATTACAAGTCAAAACCGTTTTTAAATAATTATTTTTTGTTCAAACAAACCCTAAAATGCGAAGGTCCTTTCGATATTCCGGTCATCAAATGAATATCGAATTGCTGACCCTGTTTTTTAAAACCGACATTTCGACGCTGCCGCAGCGATCGAGCGCATTTAATATTCCATTAACATCGGCCATTAAAACGGTAATGGAATCAAAAGATTCAATTAAAAAATATCAATCTATCTGTCCCTTTGCGCGGAAAACCGTTTTATTTTTGTTTCTGGCGGGTACTTCAAGTTTCAATTAGAAGAAATGAATTTGTCATGAGCGATTTTCTGCACGCAACTCCTCGCTGAAAATTCCTAATTCGCTATGAAATTTTATTCGAGTTTTTAAACAGTTTTAATTTTTAATAAGTCAGTGGGAGTGGGTACTTAATTTTTAACAATCCATACAAAAATGAGAATTTATCCTACAACCTTATCGAAGATGACGTAGGCAATTCAATTAAAAAACAAATTACAAAATCGATAACGGCGTTTCTTATTATTACTTATCATCTATCGATAAGATAATATTGTACCTATACATGTTGACTTAGGATCGAATTTCAAAAACTCTATCATACTTAGCAAATTGTTTATGGTAATATGATCAATCAATTTCGTTAAAAAGTCGATACAATTTAATACACATTTTAAA